ACGTCACCGCGGAGGGGAGTGGCGGGGAGCGCTACGTTACCGTGGAGAGGAGGGGGGTTCTCAGTCGTGCAACATGTTACAATATATATATAATGCATCTTTGTGCATTATATTGTTCGAGCATGACCCAAACCCACAGTGTATATAGGCAACCTATTTCAATACTAGTGCATTAAAAATTATTTCTGAATGCAAGACTTGGGACTAACTGGAAGATTACTCCCCCATGCCCTCAACATGTCCAGAGTCTTGTTAAGTTGTGTACACCACAGATGGCGATCCTCCCATGTGTCTGCTGACAGTAGGTGTCTGTAAAACACAAGAACATTCATCCACAAAGATGGGAAAGTTAAAGCTAGTAAATAGAAACTAGTTCATGTTCATTGTATATTAAGTCACTGTCTTGTGAGATGTGATCAGCCACTCTTTAAGTCATACCCATGTCTTTAATATCTTTGAGGTTTCCACTTTGATTATGTTAGTATTTCATCTTCTAATCAATAAATAGCAACCTTATGCTCTTCTTGTTCTCCCTTTGACCAAAGAATGCATTTAATTTATTGATATAAACCAGAATACATTAAAAAATAAGGTAACACTGCAACAGCAGAGATAGCTGCCATTTAAACGTAGCTGCAAGTACAGGAAGAGTCCAATTTAAAGAAATCTTCAAGAGGTTAATTATTTTAAATTTAGTCACACCAGAGAGAAATGTAATATTTTATTCTGACTGCAAACTGAAATCAAGTGGGAACGTGATCTCTTACACTGATTCCGAGAGACAAATACGGAGCGATATTTTTTGAGATAAAGTTCTGAGGAAAATTAAAATTAAAATATGACAATGGTATAGTAAAATAAATCAAGTCAAATTATGCACATAAAAATAATCTGGGAGTGGACAAGATGCTCACCAAAAGTTTACCTACAAACTGTAGTATAGCAAGTTTCAGAACACGGGACAAAATGTATTCTGAGGGACTGCAGTGCAAATTGTAGGAATGAAAGAGGCAGTAGTAAGGAATCCAAGTCAAATTTGAACATGATCATACAAATAAGAAAATAACTTTATTTACCGAATGACAGTGTGTGTGCCACGTCGTTCTAGGATAAGAGAATCCTCATCGCCAGGCAATGCTGGTTGCACGGTTGTCAACAAAAATGTATGTGGTCGTGCACAAACAGTACGTGATACCTGCTTCACACCTTTTTTGGTACACGTATTGAGATCTATCTGTCCAATTGGATCCTGCGAACACATAAATTCAAATTTATTTACAGCAAAACCTCTTACATGAACTTCATAAGAAAATTTTGGATCCTAATGAAATATACTAGTTTAAGCAATGATCTTAATATGTGGGGCCATGAAAGTAAAACTGCCTATGACTATTTGAGGGCCCTCCCATATTTATGGTTCATTCAACTCAGTAGCTTGGACCAGAGGTCTATAGTTCCCAGACACCAAGTCTTCCAGGAACCTAAATTTTTCATGACTGCCTATTTGCAGCATTATTATTCCAAAATTTTCCTTCTCTGCACATGAATAACTAACAATTTACAGCTCATAGTTCTGCCATATAGAGCATAGCTTCAGCCATTGGCTACAAAAGCTACCATCTGACATGTAACAAATTATAATGACAGCAGTCAGTGAAACAATCTGTGTCATCATTAGATGATAAGGCCAGGAACAGAGTGCCTGGCTTGATAGGAAGCCATGCACAACCACCTACTGCATATCCTACAGTTCTCAGATAGCACAACATGGCATCCATTTTCAAGCATTTGTTTATGGTTTGTAAAACTGGATTCAAGCATGTGGTGTCTGCATACATAATTAAGTTTTTAAAATAATTTATGTCAGGTAAAGCCGTATTTCTTCAAGTATGAGGGTTGGAACTTTAACAGTGGCAAACTATTTATTTACAATTGATAAAAAATAAATGCATGTTTCGAAGTTTTACTGTCCTTCAATGTAGTTACCAGCATTGTGTACAACCCGTTGCCAGCGATGTGGAAGTCGTAGGATACCTTTAGCAGCGCCTGCTGTGTTGATAGTTCAAATGTAGCGGTCTACTGCCTGGAGAATCTCTGGAACAGTTCTGAAGTGAATGCCAAGTAGTGGTTCCTTCATCTTAAGAATCAAGTTGAAGTCACAAGGGCTTAAGTCCAGGGAGTATGGTGGATGGTACAGCACTTCCCTGCCCCATCAATTGAACAAATCAGCCACAGCTTGCCATTTCTGCATTTCCGTCAACTCATGCGGAACTCATCGTGATGCAATTTTTCTCATGCCCAGGCGTTCCTTCAGAATGTGAAGCACAGTCGTATGCGTTAATCCTATCTCTCGGGCCAGCTCACAAATTGTATGGCATTGATCACTCTCCAGTAATGTGGAAAGAGCATACACTTCTTCTTCACTGACACTAGGATGACCTGGCCGACGCAAGTCTGCCACATTTTGGCGTCCCTCGTCGTCGAAGGCTTTTACCCACCTTGCCACTGTTCTGTAAGGCAATGCAGATTCCCTGCAAGCCTCTTGAAGACCCTGATGACAATGTCGTGCTGTACGGCCTCTGGCACATTCAGTCTTTATCCAACTCTGTTGTTCCTGTTTTGAAAACATCGTGACACCGCTACATTAGACCGCCAGCTAACACGAGGCTCTGTTCTTCTCGTCCCTGCACATGCACGTGATGTGGGAAGGGAGAGTCCATTTGCTCTGAGGTAAGGTAGTTATGTAACTAACATGTGGTATAAGCGACATTATTTGGTTCCGTTGCATGGCATCTCTACAGCAGTGTTGCCATTATTAAATTTCCAACCCTCATATATTTATTTGGTAAAAGGAGTTCAACAAGGAAAATTCAGAGTTTGAAGAAACAGAAGTTTAAAGAACAGTGTAGCAAGATGTAATAACTCTGCTGATTCCTGAATTAGCAGATTCCAATTCTGGAGTTTTGAATAGTTTCAGTGCACCATTCAAACTGGAAACTTTTAAAAAACCCAAGAAACCATTTCAGTGACAAAGAATTAAAGAAGACCTTGGATTCAGTGATAATCTGTGTGTAAACTGCACCCCAATTTTGGTTGGTAAGTTTTTGCCACAAAAAATTGTGATGTGTATCTCTTTCAGAAAAACTAGATCTTCAGGGGTGTTACCCTATAGGCAACTGAACTCGTAACACAGGTATTCCATGTTGTGAACCACCCAGTAGATTTTTAAAATGAATGTACCGAGAATTCATGCTCTGTTGCTGTTATTTCATTGGTAAAGTTTTCTCTGTAAATCCTCTCCTCATCTACACACACAGAAGCAAACAAAATGCTTCTGTATGTTTCTACTCCTCACCAGTTGCAACAAGTGCATGGGAATACACAGATAATTTGCTTTCACATTCACTAGGAATAATAAATAAAAAAAAAAAAAAACCAACTCCTAAGAAAGCACCATACTGTACAACATACACCATTATGACAGAAAAATAATTACAAGAATTATTTTATTTTTTAAACAAAATTTATAATTTAAACTTCACAGTTAAAATTATAATGCAAACCGATCAAAAATTTATAAATCACTGATCTGGATCCATCTCGGTAAACAATCCAATAATGAGTGACATTAATTTAATGACTGCCTGATAACGAACCAGCTGGGTCAAAACATGTAGCAGTACTTCTACACAATAAATGAATACTAATAAAAAAATTTCTGAGATTTCATTTTATATGCAACACTTTTTAAAAAAATTGTTTCAAAGTTACTACATACATACAATGGGGGCACGCAGTAGCATAGTTGGTTGAGGCACTATGCTCAAGCCAGAAGGTCGCAGGTTTAAGTCCCGATGAGGTTGATTTTTTCAATTTACCCAATCCTTCAAGCTGAAGTATGGCCATGAGTTCAACTCAGCCTCTAACAGAAATGAGTACCAGGAATCTTCCTGCGGCATAAAGAACTGCCGGCAGGTAAGCCTGACAGCCTTTCTGCCATCTCTGAGCTGAATGTCTAGAGAAAATATGGGAGCCTCGACGTCTTACAACCCTATGGAGCTTCATGGCCTGTTACAGGAATAGCTTTTTAATCTTTTTACATATACACAATCAAGCCTTTTAAACCTATTTAAAATCACATTGTACATTCAACCATCATTGGTCATCATCAGGTGCTTTAAAACTGTTTGCAGAGACTGATATGCTTGCATTTTGCACTTCCAATGTTCAATGTGTAGCCCTGTCACACACTGGTTATTAACACATGTTACAGAAACATGAATGTGATGGAACTACACATCGAACATTAGAAGTGCAACACAAAAGCACAGTAGTCTCCACAAACAGTTCTAAAACACCTGATGATGACCAATGATGGTCACAATTTGTAGTGTACAATGTGATTTTAAATAGGTTTAAAACTCATTGTGTAAATGTGGTAATTTTTAAACAATTTTTTAAAAGTGTTGCATGTAAGACAGAATGTCAGAGATATTTGTTAGAATGCTAAAATATAACCTTATAAATAATAATATAGCAGTACTGATTTGTTTATTACAGGATTGTTCTGTTGACTGATACACTAAGAGTACAATATATGAAAACACAACAGGTTGCAAACAATACCTTCTTTCTCTCATCGTCTGGATATTTCCAATATGAAAGAACTGCATCTTCAAGCAGGCACCATCTCCTATGCCATGCTCCAAACCCTGACACATCCTCAAACATGGTGAGAAATCCCCTTTCCCTTACATTCTGCTCAATTTCTGTGCTGAGTTGCAGCCATATATTACCTTCCAACGAAGAAGAATATGCTACCTGCAACAGAACACATCTTTTGCTGTTTCCATTAATTCACTTTGCAAACTGGAGTGTCATATTTGACAGTCATTAGAGAAGTCAATAGGGAATCATTAATCAGATTTGCCACAAACTACACAACTTCAAGTAAAATTTTTATTGGTTATGTCATTCCTCGTTAGTGTCTCCACCTTATTGTGGTGAGGGGGTTTGAGTATGCCAAGGACCCTGAGAGCTATACCAGCGGTAGCATAGCTACTGGCAGGGCCTCCCTTGCTGGACAGGTCAAAGGGTAGGCATCAGATGAAGAAAGACACCAAAAACTGATGCCGGAAGCAGCGTCATCAGCAGCGACTTGAAGCACAGAACAAATGATGCTTGAGATGGTTCAATTTCATATAGCAATNGCTTGTAATGACAGAATTATTGCTCTGAAGTTAAAGGCGGAACCGGTAGATATACTGATTATGCAAGTCTACATGCCAACATCAGAGTATGAAGATGATGAAGTGGAAAAATTGTATGACACAATTGAAGAAATTCTTCAGGAAGATGGAAGAGGTGACACAAACAGCATCATATTAGGAGACTGGAATAGCACTGTTGGAAATGAATCATATCAGAATATTGTTGGATCACATGGACTAGGAAGACGGAATCGCAGGAGTCAAATGCTTATTGACTTTTGTGAACAAAATGGACTGATTGTCACCAACACTTGGTTCAAGAAGCCAAAGAGAAGACTTTACATATGGAAGGCATCTGGGGATTGGAGGCGGCATCGGCTGGACTACATCCTTGTGAAACATCGATTCAGAAACAGTGTGAAGGATGTGAAGATGCTGCCTGGGGCAGATATTGACTCTGACCACATCTTACTGGTTGCCAAGTTTCAAACAGTTGAAGAAAATCATAAGATTCCAAAAGCGCAGACATAGATGGGATTTGGAGAAGTTATATGCTCAAAGACAAAGCATGCAGGAGATGCTAGAAGAGAAACTCAGTGCAATTGAAAGTGGAAGCAGAAATGCTGAAGTGCAGTGGAACAATATAAAAGAATGTATGTTAGATATTATTAGTGAATTAGTTGGTAAAGTTGAGAAGATAGCAAGAAAACCATGGGTTACACAGGAGATGATGAGTAAAATGGAGGAGCGAAGGGTATGGAAGACTGTAAACAATGAAGAAGGCAGGATGAAATACAGGAGAATGAGGAATGAATTGAAAAGAGCCACGGACAGGGCCAAAAAGGAATATAATGAGAAGATATGCAATGAGATTATAGAATTTCAAAGGACAGGAAGTTCTGATTTGATGTACATGAAGACAAAAGAACTAGAATGGAAAGAGATCCATGGGATTAAAAATATTGGCATCGAAGACTCCCAGGGGAATAGAATAGTAGATCAGAGGAAAGTGCTGAAAATTTTCGGAAAATTATATTACAGAACCATATGATCGACCTGATCGGCCAGAAACCTTGGAAGTGGAACAGGAAGAAGAAGTAGATACAGACGAGAAAGGACCATATATTTTACAAAGTGAGGTGGAAAAGGCTATCAAGGACATGAGGAATGGAAGGGCTACAGGAGATGATAATGTACCTGGAGATGTGCTTAAGTTACTGGGAGAAGGTGGTTTGAAAACACTGACAAAACTAATAAACACCATATATGAAACTGGGGAGTGGCCCAAGGATGTTACAGAAGTGACAATGATTACCTTAAAGAAAAAGACAAAAGCTACAAAATGCAGCGACCATCGCACAATAAGCCTTATTGCACATACAGCAAAGATACTTAAAAGAAGAATCGAAAAGAAAATAGAGGATATACTTGGATAGGATGAGTTTGGATTTAGAAGAGGAAAAGGAACCAGGGATGAAATTGGGATGATGAGAATTACAGCAGAACGAACTTTGGAGGTAGAGGAAGAACTGTGTGCATGCTTTATAGACTGGTAGAGGGCATTTGACCGTGCAAATTGGACCAAATTAATGCAGATCCTAAAGGAAACAGGTAACGACTGGCGGGAAAGAAGATCGATTCGTAAATTGTACATGGATCAGAAAGTTAGAGTGCGACTGGACAGAGGGGAGACAAGACGTGTGAAGATTGGAAGAGGAGTTCGACAAGGATGCTGTTTATCACCAATTTTGTTCAACTTGTACAGTGAATGCCTTACCAAAGAAGCTCTGGATGGGCTTGGAGACTTCAAATTAGGAGGTCAAATAATTCAAACTGTGAAATATGCAGATGACTTTGTGTTAATGGCTAAGGAAGAAACTGTGCTACAGGGCATGATTGATAGACTAATTGAAATTGGAAGGTGCTATGGCATGGAAATGAATGTGGAGAAAACAAAAGTAATGAAAATTTCGAGACAACCAACCCCAGTCACAATAAAGATAGACCAAAAACAAGTGGAGAATGTGAAATGTTTTAAATATTTGGGTAGCTTGTTAACAGATGATGGAAGGTGTACTTGTGAAATTAAATCTAGGATTACCATGGCAAAAGCTGCATTTAGCAGGAAGAAGAATCTTTTTACCAGCAAATTAGACTTAAATTAGAGAAAGAAACTAGTGAAATTCTACATTTGGAGCATTGCTTTGTATGGGGCTGAAACATGGACACTTAGGGCAGTAGATCAGAAACACCTGGAGAGCTTCGAAATGTGGTGTTGGAGAAGGATGGAGAAGATCAGTTGGACCGATTATGTGAAAAATGAAGAAGTGTTATTTAAAGTCAGTAAGCAGAGGAATATCCTACACGAAATAAGAAAATGGAAGGCTAATTGGATTGGTCATATCTTACACGGTAACTGCCTTCTAAAAGAAGTTATTGAAGGAAAGATAGAGGGGTGGATAGAAGTGAGCAGAAGACAAGGAAGAAAACATAAGAAGATGCTGGATGACCTTGGGGACAGAAGAGGTTATTCTCATTTGAAGGAGAAAGCTCTAGATTGCATTAAGTGGAGGAACTCTTTTGGAAGAGACTGTGGACCTGTCGTCTGACAGATGACTGATGAATGATCGAATGAATGTCATTCCATAGAAATATGAATACAACAAAGAATGAAATTATTTTCATGAAAGAGCAAAGTCTAGATGCTCGGTATCATGAACAACGATTTTGGTTCCTGAATATTTAGGCAATAACATTGTTCCTACTCCATAATTATGAGCATTGCTTTCACTACTCAGGAACAGGTGTTTCACATCTTCCAGGACTAGAGTGATGGAAGCCAAATTTTAAATCAATGTGGTAACAGTTTATTGTCAGTGAACAGAGATGGTTTAAATCTTCCACTTTTGCCGTGCCTCTCACGATTGAATGGGGCTACCCCAACTGTCAGCATATTATGCTAGCCATAGCTGAATGCCACAGCACACATTGCTAATTACTCCATGAATAAAAAAGGATGTTTGAAGACAGACTGATAAGTCACAGATTGTGACCTGGAAGGTCTTTAGACTTAAATCCCTGTGATTTCTAAGTGTGGGGAAACTTAAAAAACAAAGTGCAATCAAATAATCCTCATACATCAGAGGAACTTAACTCTGGAACCTCCTGATACCAATTTTGTTACATGTACCTGTTCCCAGGGTCTGGTATACTCCAACATTCTTTTACTGGTAAAACCTTCTCCTATGAAAAAAAAAACCATTCAGGAATGAGTTTACCTGAGTCAGAGACCATTTAATTTTTGTCTTTTACACAGTTACATTGTGACAGATTGGGCTGTAAACATGTTCCAACCAACAACAGAAGGGTGTCCAGTGCTAGGTAACAGACCGGTAAACACATATCATAGCAATGAACACGCAAAAATGGGGCATCAATTGCTAGCCAATATATGGGTGGGCATGCCTGACAATACATGATATCTGCTGCCAAGCAGTTGATGTGTTTTTTGTGGGTGGTCTGTGCCAAGCCTATATAGGAAGCAGTGAAGACTGTTTAAGACTTGTTCGGATGTTGTTCAAAGCAGTTCAGCAGTTGAGTTGAGAGGAGTTCATGGCAATTGAGAGACTAGTGATTTCCATATGTTTCACGAGAAGATTATAAGAGTAGTGAAGATAATGGCTGACAGAATGCATTACCAGAGTTCTGCAGGCTACAAATGAAGATTAGAATTGTAGTGTGAAGACTTTACTTTATGTGTCTTTGTTTCAGTAATAATTTGGAGTGTTATAATTCTTTGTAATTACAACTGGTGAAGATCCAATAATAATGTTATATTTTAGCGTCCTGTCGCACTGATTCATGTCCATAATGTGTATTTGTATCAATCGTCTTACAGTGCACACAATTTCACTTTTCTCTTCACTACATGTTACGGCACCAATGTGCCATCTTCAGGTGTGGTTTTATTTATGTCAAACTATTGCACTGTATGCCATCATGTGTCCTTTATAAAATGATTAAAATGAGTATATGTCATGTATAATAATAAAGTTTATATAATAAAACTTCAGACTTAAATTCGAGGAAGAAACTAGTGAAATGCTACATTTGGAGCATAGCTCTGTATGGGGCTGAAACATGGACACTTAGGGCAGTAGATCAGAAACATCTGGAAAGTTTCGAAATGTGGTGTTGGAGAAGGATGGAGAAGATCAGTTGGACCGATTATGTGAGAAATGAAGAAGTGTTAATTAGAGTCAGTGAGCAGAGGAATATCCTACATGAAATAAGAAAACGGAAGGCTAATTGGATTGGTCATGTTTTACGCAGAAACTGCCTTCTAAAAGAAGCTATCGAAGGAAAGATAGATGGGCGGATAGAAGTGACAAGAAGACGAGGAAGAAGACGTAAGAAGATGCCGGATGACCCTGGGGACAGAAGAGTATACTGTCATTTGAAGGAGAAAGCTCTAGATCGCATTAAGTGGAGGAACTGTTTTGGAAGAGACTGTGGACCTGTCGTCTTGACAGATTACTGATGATGATGATGATGATTAAAACTTTTCAAGATTTATCATCTATACGTCGCACTTCAAGTTCGCGAGTTACGTCAATCTTCTCTTATGGCAGTATTCTTCCTATCATCATCATCATCATCATCATCAGTAATCTGTCAAGATGACAGGTCCACAGTCTCTTCCAAAACAATTCCTCCACTTAATGCGATCTAGAGCTTTCTCCTTCAAATGACAGTATCCTCTTCCTATATTCTTGTATATATCTGCAACGTGAAAATGTTATTCATTAATATCATGTTTCGACTTCTGTCTGTTACGTGTGGTTACTAGACCAAAATTATTTTCAGTATGAACAAAAATATTACAAACAAACAGATGGTTTAGCTATGGGAGTTCCAACATCTGCAATATTAACAGAAATATATATCCATAACATGGAACACACACAAATATACAACATACTAAAAAATCAGAACATAATTGGATATTTCAGATATGTTGACGACATACTAATATTATATGATATTGTCACATGTTTGGAATCCAGAATAGTTACTTCCATGGAAACGCTAGAACAAACCGTTTCATAGGAAGTAACAATAACGGTATTGTAATCCCAACAGTGAGCCGTTGCGTAGGAATTGCAGAATCAACGAAGCAGCGTTTCCCTGGTGATAGAAAACAGAAGGTTCAATGCATAGCAACCGCCAGGGTTATAAAAGCCCAGCTTCGACAGAGACAGAGTACCCCGTGTGGAGGCAGGGTTGAATACCTCCACCGTGACCCTGCGAGTCGTAGGAGGCAACGAAAAGGGAAGTCTCAAATGTGAGACAGTAAAATATGGTCACAAGTCCCAAGGGACTAGGACCCAAGAAACACTGCGCTGGCAAGGACCAGCAGCATATGCAAAAGACAGACCCGTCCTCTCGTCAGAGAGGGCGCCCCACAGAAACAAGACCGTAACTGTTGAGGAGTAATAAATATCTGGTCATGAGCCCCAGGAGGGTGCTCGATACCAAGACTTACTGACTGACTGACCGACCGTCAGTCGCAATGTGACTTGGACTTGGACTTGGACAGACAGTCACTCTCACGATAGATGCCGAGAGATACAGAACACAGTCTGGAATTAGCTTCCATAGAACACAAGTCTTCAGAAAGCCGCTGCCGAAAGCAGTCTGGCATTTCACCGAGATATAGTGGAAGCAGTAATTGTGATACCGCAAGTGATAACGATTGTAAAGCGTGTGATTTTATAAGTGGAGAACAATAAAGGTTCTACTGGATTTGAGACCTACATGGATTTATTTGTTGTGTGACGCACAAAATACATAACGATATAAACAAAACAAATATAGACGATATGATTATAGAATTTAATAAACTGCAACCTACGATAAATTTCACAATAGAGAAAGAGAACCATAAATCTATAAATTTCCTAGATATAGGAATATATAGAGGAATAGAAAATTTGCAATTTTCAATCCAACGAAAACACATAGCAACAGACATAACAATACCAAGTGACTCATGTCATCCACAAGAACACAAGATATCTAGTATTAAATACCTCATAGATTGAGTAAATAACTACCCCATTACCAGAATAGCAAGAGATAATGAGATAGCTACTATAAATAACATACTCATAAATAATAAGTACAACACAGATATAATTACAAAACTAACTACAAATAACAGAAAACAAAACATTACAAAAAAGCAGAACATTACAGAGAATTCAGAAGGACATAAAACAAAAACGAAATGGGCAACATTCACATAGATAGAAAAGAAACAAGAAATATAACAAAAATATTTCGAGACACAAAATTGAAAAGCATTTAGACCTAAGAACAATTTACAACACATTAAAATCAAGGCTACGAATAAACTACGAATAAATAAATATAACAATAGTGGCATATATAGTATGATATGCCTAGAATGCCCCAAGGAATATATAGGACAAACCGGAAGGAAATTTAATACCAGATATAAAGAACACATACATGACATAAGACACAATTACAGCAATACAGGATACTCAGAACACATATTAAACACAGGACATGCATATGCTACAATAGAAAATACTATGAATATCATAGCAAGAAATAAGAAAGGACAATATTTAAACACATTAGAAAACTATCATATATATAGAACAACAAAGAAAAACACGCATATGAACAATATAAATAAAGAAATATATAACCCAATATTTACACACTATATACACAGAACAACATAACAACACCCCACCACCTACCCCCATATTATAACTCAATCAATATGAAGACAGCACACACACACACACACACACACATATCCAGTAATACAACGTAAGCAGTCACAAGGGAAGGACACAACACAGAACACAGTAAGTATTAAACATTATAAAACCACACGTAACAGACAGAAGTCGGAATGCGATATTAATGAATAACATTTTCACATTGCAGATATATACAAGAATATAGGAAGAATACTCCCATAAGAGAAGATTGACGTAACTCGCGAATTTGAGTGCGACGTATAGATTATAAATCTTGAAAAGTTTTAATATATAAACTTTATTATTATACATGACATAAACTCATTTTAATCATTTTATAAAGGAGACATGATGGCATACAGTGCAATAGTTTGACGTAAATAAAACCACACCTGAAGATGGCACATTAGTGCTGAAACATGTAGTGAAGAGAAAAGTGAAATTGTGTGCACTGTAAGACGGTTGATACAAATACACATCAAGATCCAACAAATCGACTCACCAATCCAAACCCACATCTCAGTCACTGTGATACATGACAATATGTTTTTCTAAAGTTAGCATATGAAATAAAACAGAAAATGAAGTACTGAACTTACTACCAGACTTCAGGATTATTTTTAGGAGTCTTTCATAAGTTTTTACAGATATATTGAGAGAGCAAGGACTCATTTATTTCTGCATCCTACCCTACTTTACACCCTATGTAATTATATAAAGATATGCAATGAAAAAAAAATTTGCTATTCAGTTGATAACCTGTTAGTCGGGTCAGCTGCCATATTTGGTGTCAAATACAAAGAGCAAAAACACAACACTATAACACAGTGAGAAGTCCTCCAATCAAGTGAATTCTCATTAGGAGGCAGCATGTTATAACACACTATGTGCATTTACAATACAATAAAGATAGCATAAGGTCCACCAGACCCCATTAACAGGTACTAGGGTTAAGAACATCTGTGAAACAATTACATCTATTGGGATCAGTAACCTAAAACTAAGGCCGCACCATAGCTCAACTGGTTAGACGCTGGCTTCCCACTGTGGCGGCCCGGATTCGATCCCGGGTCTGGTAGTGGGATTTGTGGTGGACAAAGTGGTGCTGGGGCAGGTTTTCTCCGAGTACTTCGGTTTCCCCTGCCAATCTTCATTCCACCAATTGCTCCACAATCACCTTCACCTATCATCTGGGGCTGGTACAGTAGGCCAGTAGTTGTCACAGTACAAGGGACTTGGTCCCACCACACTAGCAATAAAAAAACACCTAAAACTAGGTCTTTTGTGTTGTNACTTTAAAATTTAATTTTATATAACGTTGCCACGCGCGGACTCTGCGACATCATATGTCGTCATTCGTACCGGGGACATTCTTTTAACGACGACATACGTTGTCTTTAGTCGTTTAAAGGTTAACCTAAAACTAGTGTCAAATAATCTTCTAAAGAGGCTAGAAATTTAATAGGAGAAGGGAGACATTTTAAACATCTACTGTGATAGTTCTTCTAAATAATTTATTTACTTTAAGAAATGCACGTCATGTTTATGAGTGGCTTATTAACCACCAATCTAAACTCCATTTTCTAGGGAGGTGACACCTAAAGTTCCAGCTAACAAGCCAATGGTAAGACAGTCAAGTGATTTGGATCTTTGAGAAAGACTGTATATGTTCGACAACTATATCTGAACCAGGGAATAACTGTAACAGCACTGAAGAATACAACACTTGGGTAGCTCAACCACGCAATGCATTAACCCAGATAATTGATACATGGCCAATAAACCTTAAGGAACTGTCTGAAGAGAATCTGCCTTTTCTTGATTCCATACATTAAGTTAAGGAAGCACTTTTATACCCAAGAATTTATGATGTCAACCACAACACTGAAGAGGTTCTTAATCTTCATAGATTGGTTGAAACATACCTACATGTACATGTATATCCCATACAGAAGTGGTGTAGAACCTTCCTCTATAAAAGACATATTGCCCAACTACCCTTAATCTGCAGGTTGCACAGTGTAAACATTATGAAGAACAGTCAAGTTTTTATTATTATTATTAATAGGAACATTGGAACTGGTTTTGTTGAGAAAAACGAAAAGAATTTCTGAAAAAAATATTCTATAAAAATTATATTAGAAAAATAAGAAATAAATTTAAATAAAAATGTATGCTTATAAGCAATTAAAACATAACAACTTATTAATGTGATCTTTACACAATAGATCACTGTAGGTTGCAGTGCAAAGTACAAGGACGCCCACCCCTTATAAATTCATTCATTCAATGTGACCTTTAAGCCTGCACTGTGGATGCCAAGCATTTCCAGTCAGGTGCAATCCTTGTTGTAGTCAGATGAATCACAGATCACTACCATTCTAAAGAAAACTGCTTGAAGAGGACAATTAGGGAGTATCATTAGCAGTGGCTGGGAAAAATACAGAATGGCAGATGAACATACGTGAATTGCAGTTTTGTTTTCGAAGTAACTTTAAACATTTGTTGTTCTTTTATCGTCCAGTTTCATGAGAATTCTGGATGTCTGGACAGCAAATAAACAGGAATTTACTGTGTAAGTTACTGCCGAAAATAGCTGGGCTGAGAGGTAGGCCAACAGCAGTTGCTGACTGTGAGTGTTAAATGAAATCACAATGACTCACCTTATTGAGAATGAACTGTGTGCGTCTCAGTTCATGCAATGAGAATACCACACAGCCTGACATCTTGAAAGCTGGTGAACGGACAGCTGATGGGCCAGCTGGTGACTCTATTGATGGCCTCACCATACGAGATACTTGCTTCAGCAACTTCTTGGCAATCAGACGTAACTTATTACCACTGCCATCCTGCATACAAATTCCAACTTTGTGTAACATATTATTGCAATCATAAGTAAATTAAAGTAAATCTATCCCTGTAAGAGGACGTGAAGGCCCATAGGGTTGAGGGTCCCACATTATCTAGATAATCGGCTCAACGATGGCAGTAAGGTTTTCAGCCTTACGCGCCGGCCGCGCTTTACTCACCAGGAAAATTATTTAATTAAAATGAAAAAAGGGTATGAACAAAATTATGGTTGAATGACAGGGAATACATGATTACCTGTACTTAGCAAGACACAGGTTGGTTGAATCTTTCTTTCCTTGTGCATAATATTGGAATTGAATTAGTGCAATTACTGTCTGAGGAAGGGAAAATGGTGTTCATGCTGTGTGGTGGCACATTTCAGCAAGTAAATGAAAGGGGTAGGAAAATTTGATGAAATGTCTATTAATTTTAGCATGAACATAAGAATGTAAAGTAGTATTCTATCATAGAAATATCCCTGTAAATGGGAGAATCACCTACAGTGTGGCTACAGAGAAGAGAATATCTGTGAGCATGCATCCCCATGCAGTGATTGAGGGAGTCTGGAAAATTACAGCAGACCAGAGCTTGCTAAGGGGGAACTTGGTGAACGCTACTTCATTCAGAAATTTGAAAATAAATCTTACCATTCTAAGTGCAGTGTGGAGCTAATTTGATTTCATTGCTTTATTTCTGACAACCGAACTGTTATCACTGTTCTGACAATAAATCATCTTTCAGATTTTATTCCAGTTGAAAGTTCTTTATGTTTTCATTTCTCGCAATTTCCTGCATATCCCTCAAACAGCCCTCACCCCTCGTTACTTTTGTTATATTGTCACTCAAACATGTCGATGCTGTGTCAGTCATTTTTAACCTACTTCCTTTAGTTTGAAAAAATATGAAATGGAAAAGGGGCTTGTGAGATCATGTTGCTGTGTTTCTGTATATCCCCCCCCCCCCCGAAATGTTGTTACACTACAGTTTAATAAGCATATTCCCATGGCGACAAATACATGTGCAACAATATTGCTGGCAGGCTGTAAGTGACCTAATCCTTCCAGCCGCACTATGGCCGTGGGGTCGACTCAGCCTCTTAACAGAAATGAGTATCAGGAATTAACAGTATATTACAATGTGAAGAAAGAAAGCCATATTTTGCTACATCGCTTGGTAAAATTACAATTGGTCATGAAAGTTTCTACATATGGTCAATAGATGTCCTGCCTTTCCTGGACAGGTTTCAGAATAGATGCCAGAGTTGCACTGGCACAATGTTTCAACGCTCAACACAACTTCTGCAGAATCTGACTGCTAGTGCACCTTACACTGCTGTGAGCTCCACAGCAAAAAGGTTAAAAATACACTTTGTGTGTGGGTTGAACATCAACAGTTCATGACTATGAGGGGGATAATAAGAAAATTAACAAGCGAGTACTGAGAGAAAAAATATCAAAGGACAGAATTAGAAATTAAATGTTTAGAGACACTGTAATTTGTAACAGAGTTAGAAGAGAAAGATTACAATGGTGTGGCCATGTAAAAAGAATGGATAGCAAGGAAGGGATCTAGGGGACAACCTAGAACAAGATAGTTCAGACAGGCATTAAATACATCAAAAAGAGTTTGGACATTTTTTTATCCAAAGAGCACAGCAAAATAAAATGAAACTAGAAGAAAAATTGATGCAAGAAAAGGCTAATTACTCATATGCCTGAAAACAGGCCTCCTATATAACATACCTTCTTGCCCAAGATATGGTATTTGACATCATGAGGCAGCACTTCTCTGTTGGTCTGCAAGATGTATACCTCAAGTGTCACTTTGAAATCACTATATAGGCCAGAAAGTTTCACAGAACCAGGGAACAGCAAAGCTGCACCTCCATCATAATGCAGGTTCTCACTTGTGGCAGCCAGAACTTGTGAGGCCACCACTTGCTCCTGAGAGCGCACCAAGTACATATAATGATGGCACCATTCACCTGTAGCACACAATGACAATACAGGCCCATGATACTGAGTGTGAGTCTTCTGATGGTACTGCATGTTAGCAGGTTATATTTCCTTCAGTTTCTCTTTTAACCCCTTGATATCTTCTTTAAGTGACACACTTCATAGCCTTGAATCCCCATTCAAATGCCTAAAAGATAAAAGTTCCAGCAAGATTTGTGAGGTATTATGGTCATAACAGGAGACAGCACGAGGTGTGTGTGGGCAGGATGGAAAAGTGACAATGTGCATGGGCAATGTCCTGTTACTAATACTGTCTCACAGACACAGACCCACTTCATGACACCCACATATTGTGTTCCTGTATAAAATTAAGGTCTTTTATTTTATATGAGATGCTTTATTTATTCCTATGCAATTGTCATGTTGGCACAAGGGAAGAGCAAACTAATAATTCACAGCAAAGAAGCAAAAACATTCCAAATGTAACAAAGTATTCCAATGAGAAAGATGAATAGAAATATTTTAGGGTTCCTTGCAAATGGCATTGCAAGGTCTGCAAAATATTGCAAATGTAATATCACTGTAACTGTAACTGTAACGTAATGCATTTATCAGCGCTAATGACTCATTCTGCTACCAGCAGTTACAGAAGCAATCTGTGAGGAATGTTGGGCAGGGTCAGCGGTGTTGCGAAGTTTCCTCCTTGACTGAACGCACTGTGGTGGTTTGTGAAGTGTAGTAACAAGTTGTATAAGTGTGAAATAAATCTGGTCATCAATCCGAAACACGTCTACATGTCATGTACACCCCCAAACACGTGACAATATGTTGTGTGCAGCACATGGGAATGCCATAATTTGGCTGTCACTTTACACATGAAACTTGAACCAACTGAGTTGGCCTGGCATCAGATTGACTACGTACGATCCCATGGTACTACTGCAATTATGTCACTAACAATAATATAAGAACTTGTGCATGAAAGTATCAAGGTCATGCCAGAAGAAGTTTGTGCTTGTTACTGTCACTACAAAACAAACACTGAAAATTCCTATTCCAAGAGACATGCAATTATGGCGGACATTAAGCAAGCTCACTCAAACAGTAACACTTCTGCCTTTATTTGAGATATGCACCATTGGAATCTGAGACAGGATTTTAACTTTTGTGACTCAGACTCTCCATGGCTTTCCACCATCTCTCCAGGGAAATGATAGGATACTACTTTAAATTAGGCCATGACCACTTCCTTCCACATTCTTTCCAATTCATTATTCACTAATTGTCCTCCCATTTGACACTACATAGTATGAGCTGCTGAGAGGGTTGTTAAATAAACTATGAGTGGTGAGCTTCGTGTCCTACCTGCTTCACCCCAGAGGCCCCAGTGCCAAATGACATGAAACGGGGGGGAGGAGAGGAGAAAACCTCCTACCCCAGCTGAGAATCAAACCCTATTTCTATGGCCATCCAACCCATAACTTGGATAAAAGTGAAAGGTAAATCTGTCCCCATTCTTCACTAATTAAGCACTACACCATGGAGATGTATGGGGGTGTGGATGTATAGATGCACATTTTCTTGACCTCAACAATAAATGGAGGTGGTCAGCTTCACGCCCCAGCCGCTTTACCACCAGGGAACCCCCCTCACCCCAGTAACGATTCAACAAGAGCCTGGGTGAGCCCCAGAGTGGGTCCAAATAATGTGGAGAAGAGAAAATTCTTCACCCTATAGGGACTCAAACTCTGACCACTGGGACCACTGGGTCGCACAGCCCATAGCTAGTCACTACACCGACTATGTTATCCTGGCTCAACCCACAGTCTAGTCACCACAAGGTAAAGCTGTCCCTGTAGCAAGCCGCAAAGGTCCATAGGGTTGTGAGACATTGAGGCTCCCACATTTTCTGGACAATCAGGTAACATATGACACTGAGGTTGTCAGCCTTGTGCACCAGCTGCCCTTTGCCCCCGGGAAGATTCCTGGTACCCATTTCTCCTAGAGGCTGAGTCGACTAAAGGGCCATAGTGAGACTGGAAGGATTAGGTAAATTGAAAAAATCCACCTCATCGGGACTCATACCCATGATCTTCTGACCTGTAGCATAGTGCATCAACCAACTATGCTATTGCATGCACTTTTTTCAGAGGTTATTTAAGAACACTTTCAGTACTGAGATTGTATATCATCAAGGAAAACAGTGCTAATTGATTAAGTAATTTAGATACAACTTTAAATACTCTGCCATGTATGAATATGCAATTCAAACACAACTTTCAAGACCATCAAGCCATGTGAAAAATCATATCAGGAATTTTTATTAAACTGAATGACTGAAACAAGTTATAATATTGTAACATGTTGCGCGACGGAGAACCCCCCCCCCACCAGCAGTGACGCGGCGGGTAAGTCAGCGCTCTCCTCCCCCCTTCTCCCCACGGTAACGTAGCGCTCCCCGCCAGCCCTCCGCGGTGACGTAACGCGCACCGCTGCGTACCCGTAATCAACGTCCTACTGTGACGTGGCACTCATTACGCAACAGGCAAGCACTGCAGCTATATAAGTGAGCTGCACAGTGCGTTACAACGAGTCTTACTGTGACAGTGAGTGCGTTACCAGTCAGTTCTACTGTAGCAGTCGGCGACTTCAGTTGTACTGAAGACATTTCCGAGTTGTAACGGAACAGTCGCCGAGCCGAGTGTGTTATCAACAGTTCTCCAGTTAGCCGACTACAGTTGGAGTATAGCAGCCGTCGCGGTAAGAAGATCCGGACGTATGTGTGATTGTGTAATTGGGAGCGTGTGATACAGTGATACCTAGATCCCCTACTGTCAACGTGTATACTACTGAACAGAGGGTGAACTGATTTGCGATTAGGGTTATAAATCGTGAAACCCCACAACAGTGTTAACAGATTAATGCGATTAGGGTTATAAAGCGTGAAACCCCGCAACTGTGTAATAATTAATTGTAGCCGTTATTTGTAGATTGTTAAATAAACCAATTAACCATCTCTACGGCGTCTTCAGTAACGCAAACACGTTACAACATTATTATTAGTATTTAGTGTTTATTTCCAGCAGATTATCAACTCCTGTTCTAAACTGGGAAGTCTGCAGCAAAGAGTAACATAAATCAAATTTGTTTATTTGAAATCCCTAACAATTAAAATTAATACAGCCTTACTGCATACATAAAAAACATGGATTACTTTCTCATTTGTCTGAATCATATTTACAAGGTCGTTCAAATATGATTGGGACTGATTTGTGTGTAAACAAGCTGCACTGTGCAGCAGCTGTGTGACCTTGAGAGAGTTAAGCTACAACCTCCACCCTCTCTCCTGTTCGAGTTAGAACCTGTTCAGTCCTGTCATGGAGTTGCTAGAGCGATGAGCGAACAGAAGGTACCGAGTGTGGAACAATGCATTGTGATCAAATTCCTCGGAGAAAATGTCCCGTTCACTGAAATTCACGACAGATTCCAACAACAGTATGGGGAAGAGTGTCTCTCATGGACCCGTGTGTTTGAGTGGTGTAAGTGCTTCAGAGAGGGCAGAGAGTGCGTGAAGAATGAACCACATGATCGTCGGCCGCGAACATCTGTCACCAAGCCAAATATTGATCATGCAGACGCACTTATTCATGGGAATAGGTGCATCACTATCAAGGAACTTGGAGCAATGCTGTCCATCAGTGTTGGTAGTGTAGAAGATATCGTGAAATACCACCTGCACTATCGCAAGGTGAATGCACGGTGGGTACCACGCACTTTGTCGGACATGAACAAACTGGTGCAAGCTGTCAGTCGTCTCCTACAGCAATTTGAAGATGAAGGTGATGCATTTTTGAAGTCTATAGTGGCCACCGAGGAAATGTGGGTGCACTACTTCATTCCCGAGTACCAGCAGTCACCATGCGAGTGGCGATATACCAGTTCTCCCAAACTCAAGAGAGCGCGGAGGAGCCGTTCAGCAGGAAAAGCGATGGCAAAGTTCTTCTGGGACTGGCAGGGGGTTATCCATGTAGACTTTCTAACAGATGCCAGAACAGTGAATGCAGCTTATTACTCAGACCTCCTGGCAACAGGCATGAAGAAAAAGATCCGACCTAAGTGGAAGACAGGTGGAAAGTGGGCAGCCTTCCTTCAAGACAATGCACGCACCCATATGGCCAAAACAATGGAAACCTTCCGGAAATTGAAATGGAACCTTCTGACACATCCGCCGTACAGTCCTGATTTGGTCCCAAGTGATTTCTACCTGTTCAGAAGGCTCAAATCAGACTTGCAAGGCATGCGGTTTGTGGACAACAACGCCATCATCCAGACTGTTCGGGAGTGGATACAACGCCCACCACTGTTGCGCCGCAATTTCAAGACTGAAAATCAAGACATTGCCTAAATGTTTCAAGACTTGCGAAAAGCGTTTTACAGCAATCGAGCAAAGATGACAACACATGGACTAGGGATCTAGGTTAAGAATGTTGATGATCAGCATTTATGCGTAATCACATAAAAGGAAGCTCCGCTAACTGGGCCACTGGAGTATAATAATATTATCCAATATGCAGCGATGAGGTACCACAGACCCGCCCACAGCCACAGGGAATAGCCAATGAAAACCCTCCACCCCGAAATTTAGAACAAAGGGAGTAGTTCACCTCCCTCTTTTGCCAACCACAGAGTCAGCAAGTTAACGGTATAAATTGCTGAATTAACGAGACTCAAAGATCGATCTAAAAACGTAATAACGTAATAACGAGTTGTCAGCCGGAGGCTCTAGCCGATATGGGTCTTACAAGTGGTGGAGTCTAGCCTGCATCTCTCATCTCAGGTGGGTCACGTTTACTCATACTAGCCATGCTGTTAAACTTTATTGTTGTTGGTAAATGGTTGTTTGTTAAATGTGAAAGCAATGTCCAGTGTGCCCAGCGAGCCCTTAGGGTAGAATACGAAAAATAATGTAACGAGTGATGACTGAGGTGCTAGTGCAGTAAAGATGGTAGACTTTAGATAGTGCATTACGATTACTGGTAGTGTGCAGAGCATGCACATTTGTGTTCATAGTTGTGACTCTTGATTTTGTGATAAACACATACATAGGCTGTAGATGCATGGGTTTAGAAGAAAAATGATTTAAGGGGAAGTCTTCTGATAGAATAGTGGATAATTGTGAAATGAGTCGAAACAGTACAGAGAAAGAGACAGACAGACTCAAGTCCTACACCCCAGAAGGGGAGATCATGATGAAGCATAGCGTGGTGCGGTAAAGGCACTATGTAAGTCCCGACCGAGAGTCGGTATTGTTAATATTGTAAATAGAATACAAATTAAAGTGTAAATAAATCAGGGACCTAGGGTAGGACAGGGATGGCGTGTCGAGTAATAGTAATGAAGAAAGTGACAGTCTCAAGCCTGCTGCTCCAGGCGAGAGACTTGAACGGAGTCAGAACTATCATGCCCCGAGACCAAGTGTAAACCGACAGACGTCGGCATTCTTTTATTGTAAATAACAGTGTAAATAGACCAGTGTACATAGGATAGGATGTACTCAGGGAGTTTTGATTCACCCCTCCATAAGCAACCCATCCACGACTGATCCAGAGAGATCCTACCCCAAGCGAAGCCAGAACAACCCCCAGGCAGGCCAACGCCGGCCGGATGCAACTAGCAGTAAGGGTTGTGAGAATCCGAGTAAAGGGAGAGAGACTAGTAGTAGAGACAAGGAGATGTGTTCCTGATGGAACAAGGGAAGAGTAATTTAGATAGTTTATTAGCCCCCTTCAGGCATAACAAAGTGATAGCAGAGGTGGACTAGCCAAGAGAAATGGCAGACCAAGTGATTTAGTGTGTTCTAGCCCACCCCGGTCACGAAGACATAATAATTGGTGACAGCGGGGAGATATCAAATCCACCCCTGTCGTAGAGGTGTAATATATGGTGTGACAGTCGATGGGTAGAGGCGGGTCAGACCCGACACGCCCGCTCTATGCCAATAATAAGAGGTGACAGTGAGACAGACAATGCTCGACTACCGTACTACCGGCCCTTAGTATTTTCATCACCCCTCTTAAGATATAATGGACGGTGGCAGCTGTATGCAACGAAGAAGGTCCAGAACCAGGAGAATCCTAGCTGAGGGTAATCTAGTATTATTGTGTTAACCCCTTACAGCGTAAGATGTGGTGGCAAGGAGGGACACCTCGAGGCCCCCCTGACACCACGGCGTAATAACCACAAGCCTTTTTTGAAAAAGGCTTCAGGATGCTTCCAGAACACTGGAAAAAATGTGTTGACTCCGGAGGGAGTACATTGAAGACTGACATGTGCAAGTAAGTGTTTGGCAAATTATGGTTTTTTAAAAAAAATCAGTCCCAGTCATATTTGAACCACCTTGTACTAGTGCATATTTGATATTTTTCATGTATCCAGGAAAGTCACCTGCAGCCACTGTATGAAGATAGTCTCTCGTCAACGGTAAGGTTACATTAGATATGATAAGTGATCCCCGCACTGACAGTTCAGAGCTGCAGCCCTTCGGCCTCAGGCTGCCTTCTATCTGCAAACGCTGTAGCTCATGCAGTGCAGCTTGTCGACGATGAGCTGTAAATAAATATGGTCAGTATATGAATATGTCTTCTGCATGTCTCGACTTCTTCATGCTGATAAATTTTGCCATGACAGTTTTATTTCTAAACAGCACCAGGGACATAGTTGCTTTCCCTGTCAACATCACAACATATAGTTGCTAAGCCAACAAATAAAGACATTAAAATGTATCAAGCTTTAAAAAAATGGACTAGGACTGAAAATTTGAAGCACATACCAAAATTTAATTGCAGTTCTTACATGTTATTTTGTTGTTGTTACCACACATATTTCGAAAATTTTGTATCTTCTGGGTGTTCTCAATTAGGTCTACAGTAAGAAACCAGAAAGTTATGAAGTTAGGGGGCCCTGCATCCTTTGATCAACACACAACAGGACGTCTTCCACCAAGTATTTGAGGGTCTCTTCTAACTCGGACTGGATGGAGTGTACTGTGGCCTCCATGATCTCTTGATGTACAGCCATCTTGGTTTTCATTTCTTGAGTGGACACTGTCTTTGCTTGATGGATATTCATCCAGGAGATAAGAGTACCTCAAAGGCTTTCAAACTACTCATTATCAGCATCTATCCTGGATTCCATCATTTCTTGATTGTTCTGCATCATGGCTTCCAGCCTTGCCATCATTCTTTCTCTGTCAGTTCTTATTTCAGCTACAAATATGAATCACTCCGTCCAATGTGACCTGTAAGTTTATTACTACATGAAAAACTTAACACCCTTACATGTTTCGGTCTCTGCGGACCATATTCAGAGGACAAACATCACTACGAATGGGGACCCAAAAATAACCGGAATCGACCTGTTGCGCGCGCATGCTTTGTAGTTACGAGTTGTGCTGCTAGGTGGTGTTAGCTGGGGGTCTCCCGCGACTGTTAGTGAGCTGGCGTCAGTCTGAGTTAAGTGGTTTGTCTGTGGCGCTCTGTTGTGTGCGTTCCTGTTTCAACCCTTTGGCGATTAGTGAGATGGCCGACCAGAAGGAACAAAGAGTGTGCGTGTGTGTGTGTGAGAGTGCAAATTTTAACCAAAGGTTTGCACATGAGACGGGTGTCTGCAAAATTTGTTCCTCGCTTGCTCGGAGATGACCAAAGAGAAAACCGCGTGAATGTTTGCCGCA